GTACCCTTTCCGATGAAAAAAGAATTGTAGAAATCGGTTAACGCAGTCTAAAGTTTTGCGATAACATACATAAAAAAATATTCGGACGAATAAATAACCTTTTTTTTTGAAGAATGGTTAAAAATTTAATGGGCTACAAAACTGCTGAAAAAAAAATCTAAAAATTCCTATGATTTAAATTTGGAAACTTTGGTGAAGTTTTGTTGACTTTTTTTTAATTTTTGTACAAATTTTTAAATGTATGCGTTTATAAAAAAATAAACATTATACAAACAATACAAACAAATGAAAAATAAGTAGTCAAAACTGATCAAAATGCTGAGGAGATATTATTTTGATCACTGTTACCCATTAAAACGTAGCAGAAGAAAGTTCGGCGTACACATTCGAATCTTAAGCATTTATGTAAAGCAATTTTAAATAAACTCTTTTTTTTCCTAACGTCATATCTTCGGCATTTTTTGTTCCAAAGTTCATTGACATCATGCCCCTCATTCTAGTGCTTACCTAACAGATCTCAGTTCTTATTACGCTAACGTACCACCCTAACGTCAGTAAGTGAAATCTCGTTAAAATCATGCAACTTTTGCTAAAGAAGTATTTGCAGAACTATCACAAAAACTTTTCATTGCAGAACGTATGTGTCACAAAAAAACGTTACGGATGGTTGCCACCTGTTTGAAAATTTTGATTTGATTTAATTGATAAGAGAAATTAAATATTGCAATATGGGTATCCAACTAAAGAAGTTTAAGAAAGTTTACTGCCGAAAATATTTTTGAGGAGGGTTGCCGCCTATTTGAAAAATTTAATTCAGGTAGGCTCTTTAATTCTATTTTATTCTTTGTAAATGGTGGCCCCATTTGTAAGTTTTGGAGGGGAGTAACAATACAAAAATATATTTAAGGGGCAGCGAAGCACGCCGGGCATTTGCTAGTACATATGTACATTAATTAGAGCGTCTCGCCTTACAGGCAAAAAAAAAAGTTCGCCGTACACCCCCTCATATGATGTGTTTTTGAAAAGCATTTACAAAAAAAAAATATTTTTTATTTTTTGGACAACTCCAATTACATTTTTCCTCATATCTTCGGCATTTATAGTAGGATTTTAAAGTGTGATACACCAATGTTTTTGCCTCGAGGTGTGGGTTTTTCCTACGGNCTTTAATTTTTTGCGAAAGAAGTATGTATTTCGATTAGTTCAGTAGAACTCGAAATAAAACACATTTTGTTTTTAGTGGAAAACCATAACCATATCGTTACTAATATGCTTGTTTTCCTATTTTTCGGGTACTGTTTAGTGAGTGGGCCAATTATTTCGGGGTATTGCGTCCAAAGGGGCGACCCGATCCAAAAAAATATTTGTTTAGAAATTCGGTTCGAAATATGCCCTTTTTTCTAAAATTCTGAAATTAGCGTACATTCATCACTCCTATTCTCCTTAAAGCAGCCACTTCACCAATACATTTTTATATTCCCCTTCACTTTACACTTTATTCCATTAGTTATAACTTTCTCTATTACTTTAACTTTAACTAAATAGTCACAATTTATTAAATAAAAACACCTTTAAAATCACGTGTCTGCCCTTGGTTGCATATGCAAATTCTTCACTTGCAATTCTGCACTTCTTTCACAAAAGATAATAAATAATTTTTGACGGTCTTTAATTTACTGTCATTAGGGCGGTACGTTATGGTGGTAGTAACTGAGATCTGGTGGGTAAGTACCACAATGTAGCACATGAGGTCAATAAGCTTCTGTAGGAGAAACCCCCTCCTCGAGACAAAAACATTGTATCGCACTTTAAAGTCCGACTATAAATGCCGAAGATATGAAGAAAAATGTAATTGGGCGACTACTAGGGTTGTCCAAAAAAAAAATTTAAAATTTTTTTTAATGCTTTACAAAAACACTTCATATGAGGGGGTGTACGGCTGAACTTTTTTTCGAAATGGTCTAATGTACATAGATATAGAAAGCTCGAGTTTTGCAACCTTGATATATAAACTAATATTTACCGCTTGCTGATACCAGAAAATCCTGTCCGTTTATTAACTATCAATTTATGCACAAGAGTTTACACGCATCGATTCCATTTTGCCACCATTTAAACATTTTACAACTTCTTCAACAACTTCCCTTATTCACTAAAACTCAGTATTACGGCCAGAACGTCTACCTACTCCTACCAAGCATAATAAGTAATATGCACACAGAAAAGTGCTTATGGATGTTACATTCATGTCGGCGTGCATACATACATACAAACCGAAGGAAGAGTACAAACACTAACGAGCAAAACTGGATGGAAGAGGAATTCATTGGAGTGCCGTAAAAAACGCTATATTGCCGCATCATATTGCTTAGTTACTTGCTGTAGCAAGCAACATTGCCAAGTACACTTTGGAGAGGCAGCAAAGCATAACAACGGCAGCAGCATATACATAAATGAACATGGAAAACAAGTATGGAAAACATAAATAAATACATATGTACATATGTACATATAAACATAAAAGTATGTACCACAACAACCATGACAGAGCATAACAAAGAGCTGGCTGGCTTGATGGCAGGCTGGTCCGGAGCTATAACGACGAAAAATCGGATGTACATAGGCGCTCAAAATAGTATATGCTGTTGAGGTTTATGTGGCAGTGTCTGATATAGCTTGGCTTCGATTGTCAAAAGGGAATCATGTTTTTTAGTACTATGTTGTGTAGGTACAAGCTTTGCCATGGCACGGTGAACAAGCCCAACAACCAGGGGCAAAGCTTCGCGCACAGAGAATGGTGGCCAAAAACGCGGCCATTTCGTTTTCCCAGTCAGCGCTTGTTGTCGTCAACATGTACAAACATACATACATACAAACATATGCATGCACAGTCAATCATTAAAGTTTCGGTACAGAGAATTTTTTTGCAATACGGGCAACTTTTTTTTAATGTTTATTTTTTTCCCAAAAAACTCAAAAAATCAGAGTTTCAAACCTTCTGCAAATTCGAAGAAAATTCTGCAAAATTTTTATTAAAAGATTGCACTTTTTAATTACACTCTTACAAAAAAAACTTGAGTAGGTATGCATTTTTTAGCCCATTCAATTTTAGTACAATAAAGTGAAGTTTGGCTTAGCTAGAATTTTGTATAGATATGGAGAAAATAAGCGACACCTATGTTCAACAAAAATTTTTACCAAAAAACAATGCTACCTCAGACTTGCACTTTATTTTACCCAAAGTGAATGGGCGGGCTAAAGAACTGCATAATAAATTTTTTTCTAACTGAGTGTAATTTTTAATGCAATATGTATTTAGCGCAATATTTTAATGAAAATTTNGTTAAAAAAAATAGTTGCCCGTATTGCTAAAAACTCGCTGTACCTGTACTTTATTGATAGACTGTATGTGTGTATGTACATATGTACATACATATAGTCCTGGCTTTTTGTAGGATTTATGGAGAATCAATATCATTCATTTGGCAACAGCCGCCATCAAAGTTGGATTAAGACGTGGAGTTACTTAAATACCGACATTGAATTTATACATACAATATATGTATACATACAGATATATGTATGATTGAAAATATATATCTGCGCTTTAGCTATTCAATATTTAGATCTATTTTATAAAATTTGAAAAAAATGGACCTGGCAACTTTTTACTGCAAGCCGTCAGCAAAAAAAAAAAAATAAATTTAAAATCAACCCGAATTCGCAGCCGCTTAATATGCACGAAACTGCATTCTGTAAAAAAAATCTAAAAAACCAGATTAAAAAGTTGAACTTTTAATGAAAAGTTGTTAATATTTTCTAACCACTGTACAATGTGAGAAAGTTTGATTTACATACATATATGGTTTTGGTTAAAGTGTCAACCATATTTTCATGAAAAACTAATGGTGTTTCGTTACTACAGAAAAATGTTACCTTCTCATTGCCCCCTACTCTAAGCACAAAAACTCTAAGACCCGGGCACTGAAAAGGCAGCATTTTTTGTAGAAACGAAAACGCCATAACAAAAAATTTTAGCTTGAAAAGCCTTGCAAAAATGTACATATTTTACAAAAATCACCCTGCACTAATTTCTACTCCCCGCTGTGCTTAGGTACATAACTAATGTATAAAGTACTAACTACATATCTTTTGAATGAGTGCGTCTGATGGGACACTGAAAATTCCCTATTTTACCTTCGTGCCGAAATTTTAGCAAAAATAATTAATTTTTAATGCAGATTTTTTGTGTTGTTGGGCTATAAAACTGCACACTTAGAATTTTTTTTTTAAATCCGAATAAAACGTCGCAAATTAGTATGCAAATTTATTGGATTTTCCTAAGTTTTGCACAAAGTTTACAGATTTCATTTTATGATTTTTATGTTTTTTGATGTAGTATGAACTATATTTTTATAACAAAATTATCGAAAATATATTAGAATAAAAAAATTTGCATATATTGCAAAAAATTCACTGTGCTTATACTTTTGTTCGTCACTGTTCATAGCGTTACCTTAATTCACAAAGGCCCTTACCAACAAATTTTTTATTTTATAGGAGAAGCAAAAAACATAATAGTATCAATAGCAGGTAAGGCTTTTTAAAAAGTGATATAACTCCGTTGTTTTTGGTACCTACTAACACTGCAAAATTTTTATTGAGGATGTATTTTAATGCATCCTACAAAAATCTGTGAAAAACGTTATTTCGAAAAAAAAGTGTTGGTTAGGGCCTGTGTGAACTAGGCTGACGATATGTCCATACATATACGATTTTGATTTCATTAAAACTAGGCTGATATATTATTAATAGAAATATTTTTAATTTTGTGATCGGTGGGACGCAAGTAAAAGTTTCCATAGACAAAAATCACAGCTTCTTTTAATTTTTCTAATATCTTTCAACATACTAATGAGATGTGGTCATTTAGCAAAAGTAGTTACTGTATCAATACTACTAAATCAATTCAAATTATTTTCTATTATTTAAGTACTCACTTTTCACGATGCAGCAAACAAATGCGATCCTTGGCGACTTTAAGCTTCTTGGCAATTATCTTCTTTAAATTCTCCACCGAGATTTGAGGGTCCACTGTCACACCAAAATTACCACCAGTCGTCGTATTTATATTCAAGTTAATGTGGGGTAGTTGTAAAGCATGTGGTGACGATGTGTGTTGCAATGTGGTGGCGGCAAGTGGGCCGCTCACTGGCATTGAGCGCGTGGAGGGTAGTATGAATGCGCCATGCCTTGTCATAGCGGCAGCTATTGCAGAGGTTGATGATGTGCCATTGCTATTTGAGGTGGTGGTGGGCGTAGTAGATACGGATGCCGATGCCGATGCCGACGAAGAAGAGTTCATGGCGGAGTAGGTTGCAGCGATGGAGGCATTATTAGTGGCAGTTGTAGCGGAAGTAACATCATTCCTTGCTCCAACTGTGTTCTCTGCCTCCTGTGTAGATAATTTCCTGGCTGTTGATGGCATTGATGACGGCGATGGACCACACCCTATATTCGTTGTACTACTATTACTTACTGGTGGTCTATAGGACGCTTTAGCGGAAGATGATGGCATCAAAAAACTGGTCATTGCCGAACTAACGCCATCGCATTGATTTCCAACCCCATCGCTAGTTAATGATGTCGGCTGCGACGTCGACGTTGCTCCCCCGACGACTGCACTTGAGGAAGCTGACGACGTCGACGATGACGGCGGAGTGGTTGTTGCGGAATCTGTAGATTTATCCATGCCGTATTAAAACTGTTTCTATGTGTCTGAACTGAAACTTACAGCGCAATTTTTTTGTGTTTTTTTTACTTCTTCACTAACGCTACAAGTTTTTTGTTTTTAATTATATTTAGTTTTCAATTATTTTAAGTTTTATTGCAGTTTTCACGTTAAGTTGCTTCTTTAGAAACAGATCAAATATTTAAATTTTCTCTAATTTTTCTATTTTGCTTCCAATCACTTGAACCACACACACGTTGTACATACGCGAAGCTACGTAATCGATCGATTTCCCCACACCTTGTGGTATGGCTGCGCGTGGCGTGGCGTACACGTATGTATGAAACAGAGACGCAAGCGACTTGATAGGCTTCGAAAGTCAGTTTGGCGGCGTCGACGACGACAGAAATTGCGAAACCATACAAAAAATGGAAAAGGCAGCCTTACGAATTACTGCACTTTGTACGGCAACTCGTATTGCCCACAACAGTGAATTGGAATTAATTTGATACTGTCGCTAGGCTTTACGGCGGCTATGTTATATGCTGCATATGCAAATATATTTATTTGTATGAATTTATGTATGCACACGCTGTTTGCTGCTGTGCGGTGAGGTATTCGATGCTGCAGCTCAATCCACAAATAAACACAATGATGATGGTGGTTACGTCGTCAACGACAACGTTGATTTCTTCTGCTGCTGTTTCCACTAGGTAGCTTTCAAAAATTTCGAGGGCACACGAATGCTGTGTGAAACCCACTTACAACAACAAAATACACAATCACTGCTGCTGCGGCAACGACGACGCTCACAAAAATCCTACGAGAGCGAGCGAGTAAACGAACGAAGGTAAGAAGAGCTAACCAGCGACGTCGACAATTTACCAAACCAAATCAAGCCAACCGAACCAAAGGGCAAACGCACTCACTGACAGCCGAAAAGCAACTGAAATGTCTGTTCAACTGTTGGCTTGCAGCAGTCCAACCAGTGCCGTGAATTTGATACGTACGTTGCTATGCCGCCGATAGCAGAGCGTCAACAGTGAGGAGAAAGAAATAACAGCGAATACCGCTGCCGCCGACTTCACTTACTGCAGATAAAATGTTTATTTAACACAATCGACGTAGCGCAATGGATGGCGTAAACTAGGCGCAGCGTATCTAAAACAAGAGAAGTGTACTAAAAATGCCAGAGTATGTTTGTGTGTCCTTATTGTTTGTATGTTTGTTTGTCGGAATCTCACTGCAAAAAACGTCAGCAATGAACAAAACAAACGGAATCAGTGTTGCCTTTTTGGTCCAATTGGACCAAAATTTGTATTTTAATTATCCTTTGGTAGTTTGGTTGGTTTGATAAAAAGCTTCTGATATGCAAAAATGTTTTTAAATGTCAATCAAATTGAGCATTAAAATTTGTTCACTTACTTTGCGTTTACACGTTGAAAACATTGCTTTCACTTTGCTCACACGTATAAGTTTACTTTGTTTTTCCCAAATTTTACTAAGCACACAATTTTCTTCAAACAAAAACTGACTTCCCAAAGCTATGATCGATTAGCTGTTGAAATTGAACGAAAATTTGCCTATCATCTTGAAAGAAAAATTGGTGATAGGCAATTTGCAAAGTTGAGACGAAATTTTGAAGTTTTTTATTGAAATGCATAAAATGTCAGTTTTTGTTTTTTCATAAAATAACATAACAATTTTTTGATATAAAGTGAATTCAACTCAAAGGTATTTAAATTTTTTACAAACGCATTTTACGTAATACGTTAATTATTTTATTTAAAAGCCCGAATGTGTTTTGTTTAACCTTAAATATTGGTATGAATGGCTAACCAACACCTTAAAAAATATTATACTGTCAATTTGCGTAGCTAAAAACCCGGTAAATTAAAGAAATTTCGTTTAAATGATGAACAAAAATTTGGTAGTTCTGAAACTGATTTGGTAGGCGATTTGGTACCTGAAAATAATGTCTAGTGGCAACACTTAACGGAATAGATAGTGGAGCCAAATGCCGGATTAGGCAATTGGATTGTCTGTCTTTGGTCGTTTGCTCAAGGCAAGCTTTGTATTCGCATTTTATTGCTAACGCTGTGTGTAAATGTAGGTACAATTTGTGTTAGTACTAATCGATTGAATTAAATGTAGGTACAATTTGTGTTAGTACTAATCGATTGAATTTTTAATCAATTAGTTAATTCGAATAAATTCAATGAGATTACAGTTAATCATGATTAAAGAGTTGATCGTAACCGCGATTAAAAAATTAATTTTTAATCATTAACCCTTAATTTTAGTAAGCAGGTTTGGTGAATAATTAATTTGTGCTGGAATTTTCCTGTGCACCCAGGGCCAGTTAATCGGGTATGGCTAAGTCGATTTTCCTCATTAATCTAAGTAATTTGGTGTGCATTTTTATGAAGATCTATTCCAACAGACGTTTTACAAACTGGGTTTTAATATCCCTCTGCACATGTGCGTTGTGTAATAAAAGTTCCCATTTTTTTTGTATTACTAATAACAATATTTTTTTTTTATATTATGTGCTTTTTATAAGCGAAAAAACAAAATAATTACTATAACTGGTGTTTGGTTTCAAATTCGGACAAACTAGACAACTTAATCTGATTTTCTTTTTAGTTAGATTAACGATTAATGATTAAAAGTCCCGAGTGCGGAGTTTCGAACAAATCCAATTATAAAAAAAGGTTACCGTTATTTTAGGTCCGGAATTTTGAATTTTGAGAAAGCTGGTTTCAGATTAGTAATTGGCAACCCCAGAAATCCCCTGGTAATAAATTTCAACCCATGACAGTGCGTAAATCGTTCAGTATAAACATTTTAAATTTCGTAGTCTCTTTTCGAAAGCACAGTTTTGGTCACTAGGCTCATTCTAACTGTCCAAGACAGGTATGTAATTGAGGGAATATTCCCCAATAATACCAGAATAATTACGTGTAACAACAACATTTTAAGCTGGACTTTAACATCTCACAAATGTAAAAATTAGTAGAACATCAGCGCTTTTATGAAAACCCGACTAGCGCGACCTCTAAAATAACTTTTTTTTCTCAAATTAAAAAATTAGTTTTTCTTTCNTGATTAACGATTAATGATTAAAAGTCCCGAGTGCGGAGTTTCGAACAAATCCAATTATAAAAAAAGGTTACCGTTATTTTGGGTCCGGAATTTTGAATTTTGAGAAAGCTGGTTTCAGATTAGTAATTGGCAACCCCAGAAATCCCCTGGTAATAAGTTTCAACCCATGACAGTGCGTAAATCGTTCAGTATAAACATTTTAATTTTCGTATTCTCTTTTCGAAAGCACAGTTTTGGTCACTAGGCTCATTCTAACTGTTCAAGACAGGTATGTAATTGAGGGAATATTCCCCAATAATACCAGAATAATTACGTGTAACAACAACATTTTAAGCTGGACTTTAACATCTCACAAATGTAAAAATTAGTAGAACATCAGCGCTTTTATGAAAACCCGACTAGCGCGACCTATAAAATAACTTTTTTTTCTCAAATTAAAAAATTAGTTTTTCTTTCTTAACCGACTTCCAAAAAAGGAGGAGGTTATCAGTTCGTCGGAATATATATTTTTATTATGTATGTTACCGTATAACTTTGGACCACGTAAACCGATTTCGATAATACTTTTTGCATCGGAAAGGTAGTGTCTCAGAGGTAGTCCCATATTAATCTGGTTTAGATCCGATCATTGGATCATGAAATGTATATATATATATTTTTTTTAAGTCGGCTTTTTTTGCTAAAAATTACTAGCTTTTATCACAAATAATAATAATTTGAGGATGCGTTCGTGGATTTTAAAACAAAAAATTTTTCCCCGATTTATTACCCAAACTCTGCCAAATAGAAAAATAAAAGGCCAAAGAATTAGATTTTTTTTTTATCGGAAGATGGTTATTTATTTTCTTCACATTTAGCAATAAAATAAGAACCGCATTTATAAAACAAATGGTCATTGCCAACATAAGATAAACCAGTTTTATGAACTTTAGAATTTAGAAATTTTTAGCTGAGAAATAGAAGTACACGCAAAGGATTTTACAGAAATTTATTGAAGTATTACTGTTTTTCAAAAGGGAAAAATTCACGAACATTTGAAGTAAAATAGGGCAAAAAATGGCACGGTTTGAGATAAGTTAGCAGGCATGTTAGCGTTTACTCATTTCCAGCGGTGCCACTAACAATTTTTTTCCCACCAATTTTCTTTAAAAAAATCCGACCAAAATCGTTTACAACCTATCAAATAAATTTCAATTACAAAAAATCATTCTGAAAGCATACAATTAATTTACTTAAGATTAAATGTTTCGAATAAAAAACTTTTACATATATACATACATATACATATGTACTGTGTACATTTTAAGACAAACAAGAAATAAATAAATGCAGATACATTCTTAGTCAAAGAGATGAGATCATTTAGCATTTGTAGGTTGTATGAATTATATACATACATGTGTATGTAAATGTTATGTATAAATAAGTTTAATTTCTTAAAAGTAAATTTAAATCAATTAATTACACACGCAAATCTTTAGGAGCTGACCACACATAGTGCGGGTCATTTTCGTTTAAAAGTTCCTTGCATAACATTATGCTATTGATACTGTCAATCTTAAGTTTATTTCTTAGTTTAGTTTTTATCAAAGAAAGCGTTGAAAATTTGTGTTCTGCAGCCGCAGAGCTATGTGGTAATGAGTTATATTAAAACCAAAATTGTCGAGATGCGTGGAGCTAATAGAGGAGCTTAATATAATAAACTTTTTCCCAAAACATATCAATATTCAGTTCGCTGGAAATATCAAGCTCACTTAGCTTTAGTAAATTCCACTGCGTGGTTACTATATATAAGGATCGCAATCTATAAGATGGGGAAACTTTAACAAAAGAGGTAAAATTGGTAAATCTTCTTTAAAAACTACGTTGGCTGGTGTTATTATTTGTAAAAGTTTTGTATCTTAACGCTTGAAATC